ATTCTTCAGTGTTAACAAGGTTGCAATTTTAATAGTTCTTATGTGAGTGACAAGTGCTCTACCATTGTTTTGTAAGTGAAAAAAATGATCATTAACTAGTTCAACTAGAATGAACCTATCTAAAGAATGACAAATGTGATCTGTGGCACTAGAATCCATGATCCAACTATTTTGTTTATCACAAGATTATTGATATGTCTAAAACTATGAGGCAGGTTATTTGAAGTATCAAATCAAGGTTGATTAGAGACAATACCTGCAAAGACAGAGCTGATCAAGGATGGTTTTTTTTTATGATTCTTTGGTGAAGAAACCTTACCATCATTACAAGTAATCTTATTCTCACTTAAGTGGTCTATAAGCTTGCTAACTTGCAGTTTGATTACTGATAGTTGAGACATAGAACCATTACTAGCTAAATCATCTTTTTGTTTCGACTGTGTTCCTTGCAATTGGGTGTCATTCAAGCCTGTAACACTGTTTGCCATTGACTTTCCTTTCCTGAAGTTGCCTTTTACTTTAGTAAACTTGAAGTCCTCAAGAAATTCAACAAGTCTATAACATTTTTCCTTGATGTGGCCCTTCTTCCCACAATGTGAACACTGTAAATCTTTTTTGCCTCTCTTACTTGTATCAACAGCAGTCAACATAGCTAAAGATTCCAACGGTGGTTGTGTCTGAATCATTAAAGTCTTTTGAGTTTCCTCCCTTAAAATAAGACTATAAACTTTGTCCAAACTTCGTATAGGATCCATAGGAATGATCTGTGACCTCAAGGCAAAAATAAAAATAGTCATTCAACCCATTCAAGAACTTGAAGACCATGTCTTTCTAGTACTGGTCACTATAAACCTTGAAGCAATTAGCATTGCATTTTCCACATTTGCAATGTGGTAAGGGCCTAAAACTCTTCAATTCTTCTCAAACTCCCTTTAGTTCTATAAAGTAAGTATCTACAGTCCTTGAGCCTTGAGTTATACTTCCTAGTGTGTATTGTAGGTTGCAAACTCTAGTATCACCTGGTTGACTAAAGTTTTGCTTGAGACTGTTCTAAATATCCATTGCAGGGTCCATATAAAGCACTGTCAATGCTATAAGCTGTGTAATATATTCTAAAAGTCATGCTACCAAAAGGTTGTTACACCTTCAATAAGGGTAAATGAATCTGTGATTTCTGGTTTCACTATTGTACCATTTATGAAGCCTATTTTATTTCTACTAGATAGTGCAAGCAAAAAAGAATGACTCCAAGCTATATAGTTGGTTGTGGTCAATTTGAGAGAAGAGAAGAGAACATAAGAGAAGAGAAAGAATGACTCCAAGCAAAAAACATGTAAAGTAAAGTAAAAAGGTAAAATTAGGCAAAACATGTAAAATCATTTTGTTATTTTTTATTTATATTAATAATTAAATAAAAAATATTTTGAAGAAGTCACTAAAAAATATATATAAATTTTTCTTAAAATTTTGAGGACTGTGACTACAGAAAATCCACCTTTGTCCACTATTTAACTTGTGCTAGGGTGGACTCTCAAAGGCAAGGCTTGTTTTACTTATGGCCCGGTACTCAGAAGCCCATAACTCTGAAAAATCCCTACGATTATGTTAAATGGTGCCAAATTTAACTTTTAATTATTTCTGTCCTGTTGAATACTACTAGGAATCAATTTGTAGAGACTTTTTTTGCCTAGGCACTTTAGGAACTCCAACCTTTTTGGGAGTTAGCATTGACTTTGTTCATTCATTTCTTTCTCCCCTCTAAAGATTCGCTCTATGCTAGTTATGCAATTGTATATCTAGCTTTTAATCAAATATATTTTCATTTCAAGAAATAAAAAAGATTTAAACTCTAAAAATACTTTATACGGTACCCGTTTGTTGAACTAAGTCACTCATCTTTTATTACTTTCAAATGAACTTTTAAATTTTTACTTTAAGTTCAAAAAACTTAAAATCTTGATAAAAAATTAATTGTTGTCCAATTCAATACTAATTTAAATATTCCATATATGTGATTTGATGGTGTAGTCACCTAATAGTTGATGAGATATTTTTTTTATCAAAATATTTATCAAGTTTCTGTATTAGTATATTTTTTTTAATTTAACGTTATGTTAACATTATCACGTCGTTACCTGATATTGTCATATCATCATGTCGATGCAACATGACATGTTATATTATCATGTGATGTCATGTCAATGTTAATATTTTTTTTTAATAATAAAATTAAATATCGTTAAAAGAAATTAAATTAAAATAATTTTTAAAATAAAAAAATAAATAATTTTGATTTTGAATATATAAATTAAATTAAATAAAATGAATAAATATAAAAATTTGATGAGTATCTTGACTAATTTTTTTTATCATTTTAACAGTATATTTTGATCAACCCCGATTTTCAAATGAAATAAAAAAAAAACTTGCGTATTTATTGAATTAAATAATGAAACCTTTACCAAAAAAATAATTTAATTAGATCTTGGCATCTTGCCTTGTGATACGGTATAGCAGGCATACTTTCCTTCATAAAATAGAGATTCTAAAGTTAAATTTTCTCTTTCTTGACATACTGCTGCACTACGTTGTGAACATCGACCTGTTCTTCCTCCCAACTTGAATTAGAAAAGAACAAAAGTTAATCTTCTAAAAAATAGATGGCAATTACAATAACAACAAACACAATATTGACATAACTCAACCCACACAGCATCTGCATCAAGCACGCCGCTTATAAATTCATCAGTCATATTTCAAACTGCTTATCGTGATAGGTGATGACACAAATCTGTTTTAAACATTAAAATTATGGTGCTCTTGTATTAGTTTAAACACACTGCTGGAAAATCCATGGCCATAAAATGAGAGTATCTACTATTTGCAGGACCACACCCATTTGAACCCTTTTTTTTATATCTTAAGCTGCGTTGGATCCACGCTTTTGTTTTGGTAAATGATGAAACACATCAAAAAAAAATATTCTTCTCTTTTAGTATTGATTCCGAGTCAATTATCAGAGAATTTTGGGTTTATTTTACAAGTTCTGATGCTTTAGCAAAATGGGCAAAAAGAAAATGTATGCACAGATCCTTTCAAATATAAATACTATATAGTTGGCCTCTTAGACAACAATAAAAAGAAAAAAATGATGGAATAAAACGTTTTTAGGCATGATGAGTGACGTTCTCACGTGTCAACTAGCTCTTCAGTCATTAGTCATTTCGGATTTTGTTTTTCGGGGTAGCAAAACATGGTTTGGTGTAACCTTAAGTAGGATCGTTTTGTTGACTTTTAAGTAGTGAGGTTGGGAAATTGGTGTTCTGGTAGGTGGCATGCACCTTTAGGCTTTTGGGTAAAAGGATAGAGAACATCTTCAAGCAGTATTATTTAATTTAACCTGTATGTCAAACTTCTTCTTTTTCCGTTTTTTTATTGATTATGTTATTGTTTTATGACAACATATACACATATAAAACATAAAGGATAATATTTCTATATACATTAATAATTAAAAGGCATTCCGGTGGCTGCCTATCCACCCGATATTTTTCATGTATGGGTTACTTAATTGCCTTGTTTAGTATCCCTTCCCAAGTGATTTGTTCATATTATACAATGTTTCATGTGTCGTATATGGGGGTCAAACTTTCAGGCTAAATATATTAGGAAAGAAGAGAAAGTCATTTTTCTTGTTTTGGAGTAAATTAATCGAATTATACCCATGGAATAAAATGGAAAGTCATTAAATCTATGGGGGAAATTTGTCAATCAAGTAATCCAAATAAATGTCAAAATTGAATGGTTCTGAATTTGAAATAATGCATGTATTTTACAATTTGTACTTTTATAAGGAGAAAAATAGCCAGAAACATTCTGACAATTCAATCAGAAAGTTGACGATTGGAAAACCGAGATAAGCATCGTTTGGCAACGCATTATAGTAACAGCCACTTTTTAGATAAATAAAATTTGTGTTTGACTCGAGTTTGTGCTGACAAAGAGCACGAAAAGTTACGAAGAAAGCATGAAAAGAAAGGCAAGTGGCACACAGAGACACCATATGTTATGATGAAAGAGAAAAAAAGAAAGAAGGCAAAAGGGCACACCAGAACCTGGAGTGGGCGAGAAATACTGCCAGGCCAAACCTAATAGTCTCTTTTGGAGAAAAAACCTCAACCTAATCCCCCGGTGTTTGGTTTTTTGGTTTCTTTTGTGTACTCCATCAAATTTTCATGTTCTAAACCAAACGCTGCCCCTAAAAGGGCCCTGTCCCCACATGACTGGTTCGGGGGTTTTTGGCACTTTCTCTCTTCTTTTAAGGCTTCGAGTGCTGATCCTTCACGATTACCCCTACTTCACCCACCTATTTCACCGCCGTTGTTTTGAGAAAAGCCTTATGCTATGTGTATTCCCAATTTTGACCTTCCGTTAATATCTATGCTTGTGCCCAAAGGCAAATCCTCCCTCTAAAGATGACATAAAGTTTCAGGATTTTCTTTCCTTCAAATGAAATAAATTCACTTAATAATTGTCACAATTCCCCTTTTTTCATAATGTAGAAAAAAAAATAATCCAAATTTTGTCATTAAAAGAAAAAAGAATATTCTCATCTGTTTCCTTATTGCTAGAAAACTCAAATCATTCATCCTATAGTCCTTTCTATATGTACCAATTATTTTATCATATAGTTTTCAATAGTTCAATCTCACATCACCTATACATATTTTTTGCCGCAAATAAAAACTACATAAATAATGAAATTTAAGATTATAAAGAGGGAAAAAAAACAGCCCACGAGCCAACCTCCAAGTGAAATGTGAGGCGCACCAAATTTACCACGAGGCAAATACAGAATTCGTTGGGGGGCAAAAGAGTAAAAGGATGATAAAAAAACCAGCGACGAAAGAGATCCAACGGCAGAACACCGTTACTGAGAAAAAGAGGACAATCTCGTAGGCCCCTCACTGCCAACTCTCGCACTTTTCCATTCACTCTCTATTTTACCCTCTTCTTTCTCTTTTAAAAACCCTACGCCCCGTTCATTTATTTTCTGTCACTCTGTTTCTCTCTCCTCCTTTCCAAACAAAACTCTCGCTTGCCTTTTCCCCTCAGCTTTCCTTTCAAACATGTCTTGCTTCATTAGCAAATACGCCGGTAATTCCCCTTCCCTTTCCTTTCGATGGTTCTTTTTTATTCTTCGCGTTAATCTTATCTTTGTGATCTTAATCTTTTCGATCGATTTTTTTTTGTCTGATCTGTTTTGACGTTTGATAGTTGGACGAGAAAGCTTCGATAGTTACTGTACAATTAGTATAATTGAGAAATAGATCTGGTGGGGATTGTTGGGTTTTGCACTGTCTGGTAGCTACTTCATTTTGATTTCTAGATTTATTCGGATCTTTAAAGATCCGACCCATTTTTCTTGTGATCGGACCTTCTGTGGGTATTAACGGAATTTATACGTATTCTTCTCTTTAATGGAGAAAACCATAATAGGTTTCCTGATTATTAATTTAAAAAATTAATGGCAATCCATTCAACTTGTATTTTCCTTCATTGTTATGATGTCTGAAAATCTAGATCTGCATGCATGTCCTCAATTGTTTTTGGAAAACACTCGATTATTATTTCTCCAATCTTTTTTTGACCATTTCATATTTTGGAATATTTATTTTTTAAGATGTAAATTTAATTATCAGTCCTTGACGTGCTTTAAGAAATAAGTGTATAACCCAATTTAATATAAGAAGATTGATGAAGTTGATAAAGATTGTTATCTGCTCGGTTGCATTTCTGTTCAGATCTGAGATTACTGCACCTTATCCGTTACCCTCAAGGGTACTTAAGTTTTTCCTGTAGTTGGATCTCTTTTTCTTAACCCTTTTAAAGGAATTGGTGGCTTACTTTTTTCTTTAATAACAATCATGCAGAGGAGCTTGCTAAAAATGCTGCCTACATTGGCACCCCTGGAAAGGGTATCCTTGCTGCTGATGAATCTACCGGCACAATCGGCAAGCGTCTTTCAAGCATTAATGTAGAAAATGTTGAAGAAAACAGGCGTGCTCTACGTGAGCTCCTTTTCACCACTCCCGGTGCTCTTCGGTGCCTAAGTGGTGTTATTCTTTTTGAGGAAACCCTCTACCAAAAAGCCTCTTCTGGTATTATTTTATAACATCTGGTTGTGAATTTTTTGTCCTTCCTTCTTCTTTCAAGAATGGATGGGTTGTTGTTGATTTCTGATATTGATTCTTGATATGCAGGCAAGCCCTTTGTTGAAATCTTGAAGGAAGGTGGAGTCCTCCCTGGCATCAAGGTCGACAAGGGTACCGTTGAGCTTAATGGAACCAATGGTGAGACTTTCACCCAGGGTCTTGATGGCCTTGCCCAGCGTTGCCAGAAGTATTATGAAGCTGGTGCTCGCTTTGCGAAATGGCGTGCTGTGCTCAAGATTGGTGTTAACGAGCCAACAGAACTTGCCATCCAAGAAAATGCCAATGGTCTGGCAATGTATGCTGCCATCTGCCAGCAGTGTGGCCTCGTCCCCATTGTCGAACCTGAAATCCTTGTTGATGGGCCACATGATATTAAAAAGTGTGCTGAGGTGACAGAGCGTGTACTCGCCGCTTGCTACAAGGCTCTCAATGACCACCATGTCATGCTTGAGGGTACACTGTTGAAGCCTAACATGGTCACCCCTGGTTCTGAGTCCCCAAAGGTTGCTGCAGAGGTTATTGCCGAGTACACTGTCCGGGCCCTGCAGCGAACTGTTCCTGCTGCTGTGCCTGCTATTGTATTCTTGTCTGGTGGGCAGAGTGAGGAGGAGGCTACCCGTAACTTGAATGCCATGAACAAGCTCAAAACCAAGAAGCCATGGTCACTCTCGTTCTCATTTGGACGGGCCCTTCAACAGAGCACTCTCAAGGCTTGGGCTGGAAAGGAGGAGAATGTGAAGAAGGCACAAGATGCTTTCCTTGTTAGGTGCGAGGCTAACTCCGAGGCCACTCTTGGTACCTACAAGGGTGATGCACAGCTTGGTGAGGGTGCCTCAGAGAGCCTCCATGTCAAGGACTACAAATACTAAGAATTTAGGGTTGTGGTCTATCATGTCATGTTTTGCAGAGTAAATTGCGTTATGGATATTAGGCTTTTAGGGCTTTTTGTCTTTTTGGTTTCTGTCGCATCTCATCGAATTTAGTGGGTGAAAATCAGACTAATAAGCTCGGGGAGCCTTGTGCTCTGTTGAGTGTTGATGGTTTTTGTTTATTTAAGTTTAAAACAATGTTCTCTGCTTTTATAATGGAGTTGACCGCATTTTGGCACAAACATGACTCGGCTCGCTATTCTTTTCTGGTTTGCTAACATGAACTGTAATGTGTCTTGATTCATTAAATCATAGTCCTACATTTGAAGAAACTCGAAAGCAGCCGGCCGTTGGGTCTTTGATAGAGAGCCAGTGGCTGGATTGTTCCACCACGGTAAAAGCTTAGTTGTTTTGTAGTTATATTCGGATGGTGCAACGTCAGATTATTGCGGCATTTATCAAAGATTTTAGGGTAAAATATTCTTAATTGAAATTTTAAGTGAGTTTATTAATTTTTAAAATAGACTTATATAAAATTATGAAAAAATTAAAATGTTTTTTTATTAATTTAAAAATTATTATTATATTTTTTAAAAAAATTAAAAAAATGGAAAGCACCAACCCCAAGATGGGAGGGATGCACCTGACTTATTGGGGAGTTGGGAGCACCCTTCGGTAGTCTTTATTTTTTATTTTTACTTAAAAATAATAATAATTTTTAATTAATAAAAAATATAAAATAATAAATTTTAAAATTATTAAAAAGTAAAATTATTATTTTTATATAATCACATGATCAAATTGATGGAAATACTAATAATTGATTAACGATTAGACTTCCATATTTAAGATATTTCTTTCAATTTGAGTGTTTATTTTAAAAATTAATACATCCGTTTAAAATTTTAATTAGAACTTAAATGAGTGGGGTATTTAACTCAAGATTTTACATTAGGCCTTCCTTTGTATGAAAGAAGTATAACCTTGGTTGTCTAGGGGCATTAAGATATTGGTCAAAGTATCGCACAAGTATATGTATTGTAGTATTTTTTTCAAATAGCCATTTTACTATATATTTGGCCAATTTAGTTTTTGTGTTATGACATTTTGTGCAATTGTGTCATTTTGTCTAATTCTATTCAACGTTGATGTGAAGTTGAATGTCAATTTAGTCCTTGTATTATAACAGTTTTTTGCAATTGTGTCATTTTGTTTAATTATATTCAAATTGATTATTGACATAAAGTTGAATGTCAAATAATACTACTGTCGTGTTAACGTGTTATATAAAAAAAAATCACATCATGAGAATCAAATTACATAAAATTATAAAGTATACAAATTAAATTAAACAAAATTTTATAGTATAGAAATTAAATTACACAAAACTCTATATTTGACTTAGATTAAATTCTTACTTCATAATCAGCAAGTGCATACATTCTATGTTCCATTTGGCCTTTTGTACTTATAAAAATTTGACATAAAATACTTCTTTAGCCATGTCCAACAAGACAACTTCCAATTCACACCCAATGTCCAACACATTCTATACCTTTTTACTTCATAATAGTTATCATTCTCATATTTTGAAGCAAGGATCTCCCATTTTCACCCAATGACTGCACATTTTGCTCTCATTCTGTTTTTGTCATTTTTCTAGTAAACGAATGCAAAATCTTCTCTATTGAGTTCTCATAAAAAACAGCTTTGTAATGTGCAAAATCTTTAAAAATCTGATCCACAAAGAATAGAATGATAAGAAATACTAACCCCTCAATACTTGTTTAATGATTTAAAAATAGTATTATATATTATGACGAAAAGTGTGTACTTTCTTTTTATTTTGAAAAAAAGGAACCCTTTTACAGAGAGGAGTTGAGATTGCCTTAGTTTTGATCAATGAGGCAATTTCTGAGAAGCTCGAATTTAGAGCAAATTAAAGTACCAATCTTCTGGCACCAATAATCAAGAAATATAGAGCATTGTTCAATTTAGTCTATTAATAATTAAATTTTGCTCAATTTAACTCATATATTCTGTAATTTTATGTAATTTGATCCTTATGACGTGACAGTTTGACACAAGAAATTGACATCATAAAAAAAAAAATTTTTTCTCAAATTTTTTTAAAGTCTGAGACGTCATTAGCACATCAACATCAGTAACGGTTCTACAAAAAAAAAAATCATTAATGGTTAATTTGGATGAAGTTAGACAAAAAGACTCAATTGCACAAATAGCAAAATACATGACTAAATTAATCAATTTTGAAATAGAGAGACTAAATTGATAAAATGTCATAATTTAAAGAGCTCTGGAGTAATTTAATCCATATCTTCTAAAACAACGGGCTTTACGTCTTTTATGGACCTGGAACTAATAAAGTTGATGATGGATTAGACTGCCAGAAAAAGATAATTAGTTATGGAGTATTGCATGATGGGCCGGGATCAATGATTGTTTTATAACAAAGGCAATTGTTGCATTATGGGCCAGAGACCAATTATGGATTGGTACAGAAACCAAGCATTGGCTTGGACCTCTGGCTGGCATAATCATCAATGAGTAATTTTTGGAAACAAGCTTTTCTGTTCCCTAAGATTCCAATGCTGCTTTCATAGTTTCATTCACAAAGCATCAACCTTTCTCATTTGATTGCCAAGTTCATCGACACTTTGATTCCCCTTTTTAAGTGCACTGGTTTGCCATGAAAACAGTGACAACCAACATCCAGAAAGAAGTTTGGAGTCCGTAGAAGAATTAAATTAATTAGATCCCATATTATTATTTCTTCAAATTTATGGTGTGGCCGTATTCACTCTTCACTCAAACCTCTTTCTGGTCATTACCCAATGGATAAATTCTGCTCCAGGGTTTTACCGAAATTTTCCTTCATTTCACATATGCAGTCTCACTTCTTCATTTCTGAGACAGGTTATATTGTTCTCCTATATTCCATAGGCCTAGTTCATGAACAATTGATTGTGTTTTGCTGTACGATGTTTTCAGGAGGACATATCTCCATCCTTCAACTTCCCTGGAAGCACAACCAAAGCAAAGGCCTTGAGAACTCACTGGGAAGACATTGGAGCGTTGACTTGTAATTAATCATCAGGTTGTGATCATTATATATTCTTGTTTTAATTTTGTTTTTAATTTATGTACTCAAAAACTAAACTGGAATAGGGACGCCAGTTGCAAGTATGCAAGTTTAAGTAGATGAGTCTGTTAAAATAAATTAATGAAGAGAGGCCAAGAGTTATTCACACGTGAAACTGCTAAGCCCTAAAAGGGGCTTTTAGTATGGCGCTGCTTATTATATGGAAGATAAATCTATTATAACTCGAATAAATTCGATCCTGTAATAAAATATTGCTAAATTGTTCAGATTTCTAGGAGTGGTGGGTTTGCTATTTCTGGCCAAGGATACACACAACTGGATGAAAAAGGTAGAGTTCCCAATTTGGGGTAAAGTTTTGGGATGGCAGATTTTCAGTTAATTCCAGTAACCAGTCACATCAAATGGCATCACAAAAAAGTCTGATTTTGCTTAAACTTCATTTTTGCATTATTGTAACGTAATATCGTTTCCTTTGACTGCTAATCACTGGAAATGTCTCTATGCCTTGGCACAAGCAAGCTTTGGCTCAGGATTCAGGAAAGAGGGGGGAAAAAAGAAAAAGACGTAAATCATGTAAGATAAGGAGAAGAAGAAGAAGAAGAAGAAGAAAAAAGGCTGACAAAAGAAGGCCACTGGTACTTTTCTTGCTGTGATAATGACAGCAATGTCTCCCCTTTCTTTGGTCACTTCTGGTTGGGAAGCTTCTTTACTCTTTCCTAAGTACGTTTCCTGTCTGGAAGAAAAGAAAGACTACAACCGACGCAAGTGTGGGAGATCATAATGGAGTTATGTACATGAGATTTATTTGGTCGCAAAAGTGAAAGCTTCCAGGGGAGGCAGCAACCCATCTCTTTCTATACATATCTATTAGTTTTTGAGCATCCAAGTATTGTTTCCAACACTAAAAAAGATCTGGACTTCTTTTCACATATATTATCTTGCATTTCACTTAAAGTTTCTGTACTCAATGCAAGCTATTGAACTGTTGATATTGTCATGGAGTCGATGCAGAAATAAGATTGTAAGAGAACTTAGTTGGCATGTTGAAGAGGAGACCAACAAAAGTTCTTATGTCGCTTTTACTTTAAATTTCAAGAATCATTTTGGGGGGTTTCCATATAAGCAGAGTTTACATATATGAATTTTAGCAACCAGAGGTTGATGTTTCTTACACATATATAGTAAACAAATAAAAAATAAAAACTTTAAAGGTGGTCCAAGATTTACAAGTAGTACTTTTCTTTCCACTCTTCTAAAATGTCTTTCTCTTACAAGTGAAAAAAAATGAAGCCTTTAATGGATCAGGGGTAGCTATAAACATAGACAGTCCACACACACACACACGCACAAATGTCCATAGCTTATGGCATTTTAAGTTTATCTCCAGAGATCAACGCTTTTCATTAATGTCAACATTTCATTGTGATATTCTTTTTGTTCACCATCAACATTTTCTTTTCCACCATCATGTAGGCTTCGATATAGCATAATTCATTGCAGTTGCTGTGATTTTGCAAAAGCCAGCACTTGCCTTACAAAGAATCTTTGTGATTCCTCAAAACTAGCTAGTACTTTATTTTTAGCATTAGTCAAGCATGTGGGGAACTCAGGGATTGTTCATTTTCTAGCTATATTCTGCATAGACTTGCTCAATCATTATTTGCAAACAAAGTTAAACATCCTTTTTTTCTCATTCTTTATAAACCTTAAGGATATTTGGGGAGGAAGAAGAATAAAGATCTCTTTGATCCAACAATTATGTTGTTAAGATGAAATGGTGGTCTTGAAACATATTCATTAGATCGAAAATATTTTCATCCCCTTCACTTCCATTTTTATCGATCAAAGAGAGCCTAAAACCTGCTTTTTAAGTTTGAGTGAGCTGATTTTGTCCTGCAAAAAAAATCATGGTTATCATGATCTTTTAAAAACAAATTTTGACTTATTTATGACTAGGTAAGCCTTTTGAAGCAAATCTAAACATTTCTTAAGAGTATTTCAATAACTTAATTTTGACTTAATAATTCTCATTCCTCTAACGAAAGGTTAAGGTAAGTTTTCAATACCCTTTATGATACACAAGCTAGCATCGCAATAGAGTTAGACAATAAGGGAGAA